CGCTCTTGTCGGGGTCGTCGACGAACGCACCCCGGTGATGGAGGCTGCGTTGTGGAGCAGGCTTAAGGGATCACGGACTGGACTGGGGGACTGGTTTTCTCCGAAGGATGCTTTTCAGCGTCGGTCCGGCGCAGTGAAGCGAGCAGGCAAGGATAAGAAGAAGGAGAGACGCGGGCATGGGTGATTTTTTACCTTCGTGGCGACCTTGCCAGCCGAGCAAGGATCCTCGCGTTTATTGACCCCGAGACAACCATTCTCCTCTTTAAGCCCGTTGTGCATCCGAGTTGCGCTCGGACCGCTCCTTCTCCCGCTTATCTTCGTCTTCAGCTGATGCTTTCGAGAGGTAAACATCCTCCAGAAACGAGTATGGCTTCTTCTTATTCGTCGAAGCCGTTTCAGTCGGTGAACTTGCTCGTTGCGCGGCCACGTAATTTTCTTAGATTCCTCCTTGTCGGTCGCCGCGCCGCGCCGTAATCGTTTCTGAAAATCGAACTGTTTTGCTCGTTGCTCCAGACTACTGTTACCCGTTACGTACATGCTTGCCAGCTCGATTAAAATGATAATGGAGCGCCGCGTTTACCACCGTTTCGCGATTTTATTGCCTTTGTTGGCTACCCGATCGCGTCATTAATAACGAACGCACGCAGCACGTTGCCCTGTTTACGCTCGATTCGCGATGACTACGTAAGATCCGTGTTACGTGCTCGCGTGTGTACTTAACTCGAGATGCAAATCACTCGCGCCAAAGTTCCACCCGCGAATGTTTTCGCAATTAACGCCAATTTCGCCTCGTTAGCGATTATTAATCGCGCGAACGATGCGCTCACCGGTGTCATCGACATTTTCGTCGCGCTTCATCGTTCCCTAAGCGGAATCGCGGTGCCATCGCCGAGGTACCCGACCACCCGATTCCGGGGTTGAACCGATCCCGCGATCGGTACCGTAAAAACCCGTGAAAGCGGGCACGAGCTACCACCACCGATCCACGATATTCCTCGGCTTTCGAAAAAATTTCGTTTCGAGCGGATGGCGTGGCGTATTTTTTCGCGCGAAAATCGCCAGGTGTAACGCGCGAAAGCGACCAGGTTCCGCCAGGCTCGAACGAGCGTCAAATATTTCCTTTAATCCAGGAATACCTGGACAATCGTGTTCCGCGTTTCCTGGGACCTGTTTCTGTTCGTAAGAAAAATATGTATTTTTGCGACGGATTACCGCGAACGAGCCACGTGTAATGATAAATGCGGTTTCTCTTCCGTCAATTTTATCGCTAATTTATCGCGCTGCGCCGAGATCGTCGATCGATCAATCGGTCGTCGCGAAGGTAGTAGAAAAACTCTTTGTGCGTTCGAGCTGTGACTCGTTGCGGGAATGGAACATCGCTACCATTCGATCGTACGATTAATCGATCGAATACCGTGCATAACGTTAATCGCCGGTACTTTCGGTGTAGGTATACCGTGGCGATACCGTATTCGCGACCGCACCGTGACTCACACGATGAGTTATCGCTCACGACTCTCTCGGTTGCAAATTCTCGAACTCATTGTATAGGAGCCATGTGACCATGCGATTGCATCAAGGTCGTACAGGCCGAATAAAGAACCGATTGCATATCGATTCAGCCGACAGCCTGGCGTACCGTTCCGACCGTATAAAACGCTCGCGTGACGTCCGCAACCGATTTCGTTTCATCGGCGATCGGTATCTATCGACGCAGAGGCAACGTCGATTCATTTTCCGCCTATGCCACGCGATCGGAGATCCTCCCGAGCGATCGGTAAGCGATCGGTAAGCGAATGGAAAAATGGATGGCCGAAACGAGCGAGGATCGCAAGAAATGGTCCGCGCATGTCGGAAGGCGGGCACGTACCGCGAGCCATATTGGTTTCAACGGCAGTTTACACGCGTAGCTTTTTGCGATTAAGGTCATTACCTGAACCTGCTCCAGCCGTGGCTATGGTACACGGATAACATGTGTGCCACACATTAATAACTACACGTCGACACTTGCGTTTCTTTCGATCGGGCAGACTGTTTCTTCGACCTGGCTACTTGTCGCGGAATGACGCCACGAGTTATTTCGATAACCGGCGAGAGGAAGGCGTCTCGTTTTTTCGGCCGCCGAGCTCTCCTAGCTTCGTTACGGATACCGTCCATCGCGAGCGCGCCCGTTTCTGCTCTAACAATAAAAAGATCCCCCCTGAGAGAAATTACCGCGTTCCCGTTAGCCGATCGGATACCAATCCGGCGTAGTTACGATGCTCTCCGCGGTCGCCGTGACTTTTAAGATCGTTTTTGCGTCGGTGGACGGGTCGTTAAAGTGTCCAGCCGGATGGAGCGTGGAACGCGTCCGTGTTGCATCCATAAAACACGAAACGTCGAGTAATGCACGCGATTGTTCAGCCATCGAGTGGACGCGACCCAGCGGTTCGCTTGACCGGTCGTCGCAAGAACCACGTTGCTCGTTTACGCGAGGTGTTTCGATACCGCGGGATACAAACTCGAGATGGTTAACACGCTTAATTGGTTGGGAGAGCTCGCGCCGAGTTTGTTCCCCGCTAGGAGAACAAAACAATCTTAATAAAGATAGCGCGCGATTGAAAAGCAACCGTGTGTAACTTTGGTTTCGCAGACGTCCACGCGCATGCGGCGTGTTCCCGCAAGAAAGTAACAGCTTGTGAAATCGACTGTTATTTATGAAAGGTGTTCTCTCACGATCTTTTTTCTTTTCCTTCTTCTCGTTACTCCTCGCGCACAGTTAAGAAGTTATATCGATTTCGAGGTCACTCGCTAATTACCCCGCGCGATGAACCCTCCTAGCGCGAGGCGTTGCGAGTCTACCATATGGTGTGCCGCTATCACCGAAACGATCCGTGTTCCGTAAATTTCATCTGCCCGCGAGTATTTAATTCAGCTGGAAATTACGGAAGCGTCCAATTGTTCGCGGCTGCATCGTGGCTGATAGATCGTGGCAGCGCGATCAGTTCCAACTAGCCGCGCTCGAGCTCGTGGCGCGACGTGAAATTTCGTTATCGCCAAGAGCCACTGTTTCCTCGACGAAATTGGTCGGCGAAGTTTCGCCGTGGCGCGCAAAAGTTTCTATAATGTTGCTAATTGTGGCCGCAACGCTATCTTGCCTCTGGAAATATCGGCTAATGGTTACATAACGAGCACGTAACGCGAACCGCGAAACGGAAACCGGTGAACTTAGCATTCTTCCAGTGCGTGTTCGCTTTTCTTTCGGAAATCCACGATTCCGCCGAGTTACGACCGGTTGGCCATTCGACGCGCTCATCTAAACGGTACGACTATCGGCTGACTAATAGCGTATTCCCGATCGCGCTCACGGTTACGTGCAATGTGCATTCTTCTCCACGTGTTTCGTGTTTACGAACATGTCACGTGAGCAACCGCGAGCAATTACATAATCTCCGCGTTGCCTACTGATAAACAATCGCCCTTTCTTCCCGTGGCAACGACGGATGCCTCTTAACAAGCTCGCAGCGTTGGAATCTGTCCATTGTACACGTAGATCCTGCTGGATACCTTATCGAAATACGATGTAACGAGATTCGATCGGGACTGTACACGGATTGAGACGTTACACCAGGCATCGGACAGCCTTAACGTTCAAATGCCATGTCTGGAGAAACGTCGGATACATAATTGAACGATGAAGCCTAGAGGTAGTTACACGTGGCAGCCGCGTAGATCGGGCAACTTTGCGAAGTTTCGCGCGCATTTGCATTCATGCAACGAGCGAACGAGTACGTAGCGCGGCGGATGCACGCGCGAAAGTCGCTTCGCGGGCTGCAGATTGCTCGATAACGCGACGCGTATGCACGTGTACGCGTTCGCCGATTAACGAACCGCGGATGGATGCGTCGTGGCAGGGGCCAGGGTCTGACATATTGCTCCACCGACTCGTACCCCGGAGATTAGTCTCGTTACCTTTGGCAGCGAGCATTCGGTAACCGTCCGATCGGTGAAAGTTCGCGGCAGATCTCTGTGCCACGTTTCTACCTCGATATAGTTTCGTCTTCGGGTTCGAAAGTTTTAATAGAGTGAAAATGACCGAGCGATCCTATCCTTCCTTTCCAGGTCTAATGATGGAGTCTGAGAAGAAGATCTTCGAGATGATGAACAAGAAGGCGGCCATGTCCAAGTATTGGATGCCGTTAGTCTGGGCGACCAACATCATCAACAGGGCCAGGAGGGAGGCTCTGATAACCAGCGACCAAGTAGTGCAAACCCTGCTCGTCGAGCTCAGCGACATCCGGAAGAGGCTTGGCGCGCTCATTGGTTACGACACTGTTTGCGTTCCTCTCGTTTACACTCAGGTGAGTATCAGCTGTGATATCCTACAAACCGTGTCGAACACGTGTCGCGCCGTGAAATATTCTTTTAATATTCCGTTCGATAGACCGTTTAGTATTCGTTTGGAAGGCAAACATCGTTTAACGGTGTGAAATTTGAAAATCGTTCCGCCGAGAGTCTCCGATGTCCGGCCGTTGACAAGCGTCACGGAAAGATTCAATCAGACAACGCGGTACTACGCGTTATTCCGTTTCCAATCTCATTGAGGAATCGTTAAGAAGCCGAGTAATTGCGACGGTGTTTACCGTCATTGAGAAACACGAGTGCCTTAAACGAACGTCTTCATCCAAAGCCGATTCTCATCTTCGCCACATCGCCTCGTTGATGCTGTTGACAGTATACAACACGGGCTTGCGTAACCCTTTATTCCGCTGTTAGTCTCACGATGCAGTCGTTTTCTCTCGCTGCTTCCTCTAATCAATTTTTCCCAATACAATCTCTCATCTTCCTCACGCTTCCGACGCTCGTTTCGTGCTCGTCCCAGGTTCCAACTCGAGACCTCCGACCGTCTCGTCGCGTTCGAGCTTGAACCAAGGGAACAGCCTTTCCCTTGAACAGCACGCTTCTACTTCTTAGCGTTCCCAAGAGGCTAGAAGCTAACGAGCTTCGCGGAGGTGTCGACCATTAGAAAGTACGTCATCTGCATTGCGACACGATATCATCGATAAAAGGCTCGATGCGTAATGGCGGAGGCCGCCAACGCCGGGATATCATTCACTCGATCCTCGGACTCGCGGCTAGACCACGAGTAGCTCGGGATCGGGGCCCGACCAACGTGTCGGTGGCTTATTATCCAGTTCGAAGGACTCGATTCGTTGCGGCGCAGCAACGAAACGGATCCATTCTCGGAAAGATGTTTCGCATTCGCAATTAGCCGACGTATATGCATTGTGCAACGCTAATTGCTCATCAGCTAACGTCCCTAATTGTCGACTACGAGCGCCATCGTTCTCGCGGTAAACTCCGCTCGCTTCGTAATCTCGAGTATACCATGATCGAGGCACGATCTTCGTTCAGCCTCGATGAATCGAACATTGAGACAAAATAATTTGGAAATTATTTTATTTTGCCTGATAAAAGCCTGAAAAGTGCGATGAACGAAGGGATACAGTGACGGTCGTGATTAGGAGAAGGAACACTCGTTCATTGATCAAGCTAGCGCGTCATAGGTTAGGCGAGTTAATAATAAACGCGAAAATTGCCTAGAGTTAAACGGAGCGGGATTGAACGCTCTGACAGCTGTTTTCCTCGAGGATATACGATTGCGTGAAAGATACGCGAATCTCGTTATCGATTATATTTAGATCGATGGAGCGAACCGCTGGGTTAGTCAGCTGCGTGTTATATGGCTCATTTTAATTCGCTCTGCTCTCGCTCTTCGCATAAATTACACCGGTAATAGAACTCCGATCGATGATTCGCTTTTCCGCGTCGATCACTCGCCCATTGTGCAGATACCTGGAATTCCTCCGCGGAAAATGGGGCGTTCTCTCTGAGGAAGAACGCGATCCTCTCCTAGATAACGTTCGAGAGATAATTCGCTAATCGCGTACGTTCCATTGCGGAGATTTCGAGACAAACGTTTCCGCGAATTAATACTTGGAATTAGAGGAAACGTCGGGTGGGGGCGAGGTGGAAGGAGCGAGCTGGCGCGCAATTATTTTCCTCGTCGTGTTTTCGTGTGGAAACGTAGAGCCGCGTCTTTCACCGTGCGAATTGTACTTTGTCTTCGTGGTAAAAAGCGGGATCAAGTCGCAAGGTTACGCGTGCAAAACCGACTGTGCGTGCTGTGCAACGACACGTTCTACCCGCGCGGTTCTGTTCGTTTATCGCGAACGTTTGCATAGCGAGCGAACGTGTGTGCGTCTGGTCGGCGAAGTTTTATAAATTTCTCGAATGCAGGCGATGGCAGAGAATGGAAGGAGAAAGCGATTTGCACGGGACGCGACAATGCGGTTTAATTACCAGCGAAACTGTCGTGCCGGATCCCCTTTGTCTTCCGAGGCGCTTTTCGTTTCACTCCACGAGCCGCATTCCACGAACGCGGAATTCCGAGCGACTCGTATGAAACCCAGGTACCTCCGGGTTAGAGGTTGGAGACGGGAAAGGATATTTTTTTCCACGAACGACGTTTTCACGTGGAAGTAAACGCATCGTGGACAGTGCGCGAGCCAAGAAGGCGGAGCGCGCTGCATGGTCAAGGACGTGGAATGAGTCGAGCTGCAATCTCGGTGCGCGTGGATGCGGCGGAAATAATTTCGCAGCCTGTTCGAAGATCCTCGGGGACACGGTGGTGATCAAAGTCCGGAGATAAGGCATCGGTTGCTCTTTTTGTTTTATTCGTAACGAGCCTTTGCATAAACCATCGTTTCCTGGTGGCCTTCGACGGGAAAGGCAGTGCTCTCGACGACCTTGATATGATTTCATTCAAACCTGTTACATTCTCGCGTGCTCGCTGTTCGAAGAAGGGATGAAATCGATAGAAAAATAATCCTTCGTCGACCAACCGATCCTGTTTTTAATCGCGCTTTCCTCGATTTTCGTTCCGTCTCTCGCCAGTCTATCGCCCGTCTAATTTCCCTGTCAATTACAAAATGGCCGACGCGCTGTTACACGTTTATCGTTTGCAGGCTTGCTCGCGAGACACCCGCGTTTCCGTGATAAATTCCGCAAAAGTGTTCTTGAAAACGAAAGAAAGTAACAGTGAGGCAAGGTGTATTTATAGCGATGCCAGTTTGTCCGTTCTTCCTTGATACGCAGAAAGGGTACAACGCTGGTTCCGAGAATCATACGAAATGATGCAATCGAGTAATGCCTATCTATAAATTTCTGTCGTTTAACGTACCTACATGTCCTCTGCGCGATCTTACGCAGGGGACATTCGATTAGCAAATCGTAATGACGACGACTCGCCGTTTTTCCTCTATCTCGTCGCGCGAAATTAACCATCGCTCAATTTTATTTCGCCGACTATGCGATTAGCCTTCGCAACCACGTGCCCGAGAGGACCGTTGTATTCGCGCTCGCATCCGATCCACTTTATTCACGTTTATGTTCATTTTGCAGGTAGTCACCTTATCGTTGTACGCTTACTTCTTCTCCGCCCTGCTCGGCAGGCAGTTTATCGAGCGCACCGACGTCGGAGGCGGAAAATACGAGGAACCCGACATGTATTTCCCGTTCTTCACCGCTCTGCAGGTAAGAAAGTCGCAACTCGAAGAAAAATAATAACCTATCGCTCGTATCTATAAATTCGATCATCTGCTTTCAGTTCTGCTTCTACGTGGGCTGGCTGAAAGTCGCCGAGGTGCTGATCAATCCATTCGGCGAAGACGACGACGACATCGAGTTGAATTGGCTGATAGATCGTCACATCAAGGTACCGCTTCGACTTTCTCCTCGACTCGACACCTATGGTATCGAGATCGAAACCGAAATCGAAACCGAAGTTGTCGTTCGGTCAGCGAGATGCACGATTGACATTTATTACGGCTGACGCGTTGTTTGGAAACAGGCTGGATACATGATCGTGGACGAAATGCACGAGGAGCACCCGGAGCTGTTGAAGGATCAATACTGGGACGAGGTCGTGCCGAAAGATCTACCGTACACCGTGGCCAGCGAGCAGTACCGGCGAGAGGAGCCAAAGGGTTCCGCCGAGCATTATAAGGTCAAAGACAGCGACGCTCTGTACGCGAACGTTATGCTCGGCACACAGATCCACAATCACGTTCAACATCGCAAGACCCACCAGGATGACATGTACGCCGATTACGTAAGTGCACGTCAGCGGATGAACTTGAAACCCTCGACGTATACGCGACCGGCTACCTGTATTTGGTGTCACGATCGTGTCGCGCGAGAAACGCGCCGAGTAGAAATTTATTCCGAGCATTCGGAAATCGATATCCAGCTGTATACGTATTACAGGAGAGCGTGGATACCCCGCTAGTGGAGCGAAGAAAGAATTGGCTGCAACGACAGATCACGAGGATGGGCTCGGTGCGTAGCTCCTCGACTACCTACAGCAGCGGCGGCGGATTCTTCTCGAGGAATCGTCACAACAGCGTCTACAGCAGCCCCGAAACCGGCGGTCTGCCGCAAACGAACAATCCGAACCTGAAGATGTCCCTGTACGATAGGCTAGTAGGGCGGAAGAGCATAAGGAGTCAGAGAATGGGTCGGCAAGGCAAGTGTTTAGCGCAAATTACCGTCAAACACGCCACGCGTCTTCGCACCCAGGCAAAGTGGAAACGAATTGAAACATTAGGAATGGCGTAAACGCGCGATAACACGATTCCCAGGCGTGTCAACAGAATGGCGCGCGAATTCTGAAACAACGTTCGCCGCGGTGACGTTGATTTCCGAGCTATTTGAATGATAATGACACGATCTTACGTAACAGTCCCACGCGCGTTAACAGTACCTCTCGGCTCTATGAATCAAAACGCCGGCGACTGACAGTTCCAGCCGAGGTGCATTATTCTCCGCGAAATCGTTAAAGATCGATTCCTTAATGTGAAAAAGTGGAAACGATTCCGTTACGCGAATGGTAACCGTATTCTCGTTTTTCTCCAACGGCATGTCCGAAGTTGCCATCTTCTTGCGCGTTCCAGCGCGACCCCGGCGCGAGAAAAACTTTCAATGAAAGCCTCGCGAATGTTCGAATCTTTCCCCACCGGACTGCATGCATGCGATGGATTATGCAATGCTTAACCTTGTGTAACCTGAACAATTTCCGCAATTGCGAATCGCGCTTCTCGAAAAAAACTTTTCTAAGACCTTGTGCTTCTTTCTCCTGCCGTGCCTCTCACTCGCGGCTGAACAAAAACGGGAAGAAAAACCGTGCAGGGAAAAGTACCGGAGCGATTATACCCAGTCCTGCTTTATTCTGTTCTCTGCGCCAACTGTACACCGATCCGACAGAATCGAGGATTCGTTTCCTCGTCCCGCAGCTGGGCATCTCCTAGCGGTAAACTAGCTGGCAAAAATTGACGCTATCATCGTCGGCCTCGCTGGCCGATGTCATTGCTACCGGCGCCAGGAATAAGCTAACCTCGAGAAGTCGGTAACAAACTTGTCTAATTCGTGTCCGTTTCCAACAGGTACCATGACGAAGCTGAACTCGGTGCCAGTTTCCTTGAAGAACCGACCCCGCATCCCAACGCCGGACGTGACGAAAGAGGTGGTCGACCGTGAACAGAGATTAGCTCTATCAGCGACGAACGCGGCGAACATCGGAGCAGGTGTCGTTGGGGTGATACCAGCGAACGGTCATTACCCAACGGACCTGCCAGTGGTGCAGGTGGTGCTATCGCCGATTCAAGAGACGGAAGGCACGCCTGCGACCGGGAAATCTGGGGCGGCAGCCTTGGCGCAGGCTGTCCTCTCCCCGACTTTGACCAGCGCCGGTCTAGTCGCCCCTGTCACTCTGACACCGGTCACCATGAGCCAGCTGACGCAACTGGGCCTGGTGACGACAACCTCCGCGCCCATGATCAAGCCCACGAATCAAGCGATCGGCGGCCAAGCCACCTTAACCGAGGTGAACAGCAGCGAGGAAGAGGGATCGGGCAGTGGAAGCAGTAGGAGCGGCAGCATTACGGGACAGGAAGAACGGTCCACGCCTTTAATAAGCCAAGACAGGAGCACTCCTCTGATAGGCGAGACGGCCAGCCAGCTCGGCAGCAACGGTAGTTCGCCAACCTTTGACAGCTACAACGATCGCTCGCCTATCCTCATGAATCCCGAGAAATTGGGGTACGTGGTGGCCACGGTGCCAACGACACAGGACAAGACGGATCCGCGTGGTAGGCGATCAGCTTCGTTGCCGGGTCCACCGGTCGTGCAATGCAGAGAAGACAGGAGTATGTCCCTGCCACAGTCCCCGGGGCTGCAACCGAGGGAGAATCGTGCAGCCTCGGTGTCGAACGGCCACGAGCCGCCTAACATAGACAGGCTGATGGTGCACGGTACTCAGGACATTCGACCGAGGACTAACAGCATCGGACACGATCTCTGTAGACCGAATCATCGAGTCCAGGACACCTCGAGGAAGATCAGCAGCGTGTCCTGTACGAACGCGACGTTGTCCAATGGTATAGGCACTACGCCTACCACGACGACCAGCATAATGCCAGCGACTGCTCCCGTGGCCGGTAGCAAGAGAGGAGAGGTCTACGTCTGACCTGAGACATTAGGGACAATGTCGCAAAATTTTGATCGAACCGCGGACGACTTTGGTCGTCTCGTGCGATTCCAACAAGCGTCGCGCTTGCCTGAAATCCGACTCCGTCCATTATCGTGATGTCTCGGTGCGTTTCGCGCGCGGTGAGAGTAGGAAGCAATTTTCGCGCGACAAGCGTGAACCGATAATGGGATTTTTTAGCGATCGAGCCGCAGGAGCCGAGAAACGCCTCGAACGATCGTGCCACTTTGCTGTAAATACGATCTTAACTTATGGACACCTCGACCGACGAGGTAGCTAATTGCGACACGGGGATTGCCACTGACGCAAGGTCCCCTCGATCCGTATCGTCCGTCGATCGTTCCACGACCGTACCACTCGTGGGAATCACAGCGACACGATCGAATTAGCCGATTTCGACGCGTAGGAATCGAGAAAACGCTTCTGTCCTTTTTATCGTATGTGCAATAACGCGGTATCGAGCTGACGACGCGTAATCGACGTTGCGAAAGCCGCGCTCTCGCGTTTTTAGGTTAGGAACTATACCGTCCATGCGGCTGATGGAGGGACAGCGTAGTAGACGTGGCCAACGCGTCGACACTCGTGCGACACTTCGACGCGATACGCGAATCATTGTACCCTTGTTGTGCGTGCCTTACTTTGGCCGCGACGTAACATTGTGATACGAACATTGCGTTTTCGCTACGATTCGCGCAGAGGCGAATTCGAAGGCAGAAGACGCGGAGAAATCGAATCTCGACGCTTGTATATAGCCGATCGTCGCGAGACTCAACGTGACTCGTCGTTTTCGATATTTCTGCAGCCAGGTGGAGGATTCTGTCCGCTTATCTGCGCCGACTGCGTATTTATTCGATGCAACTCGACGCTATCGATCCACCTGCTGTCGACCTGTTCGCGAATGGCACGAGGCGCCTAGTCGGGTCCTAGGCTCTGTCGTGGGCTGGAAAATGACGAGTGCATATACGCATGTGCACGAACACGCAACGTTTGCCATATTTGCCATACTCGGAGACACTTTGCGTAAAATATTGCGTGCAACTGGGAATCGCGATCCCTCGATCGCAGCGGGCGACGTTGCGCCACGATTCGCACCATGTCGACTCACCGATATCGCCAGTTCGCCACGCGATCTTCACCATTTTATTATTCCATAATCGCTAGAGATTCTTAAGCTAGGTTTTATCCATACGAGAGACTCTCGCGAACACGCGTGCGCGGCGAGCAAGTGCAGAACGGGAGATATTCGACGAGGAAATTCGTAGAGGTGGATCGTTACTTTGCATTCCCGACCAAACTTTCCATTTCGTTCCCTTTCCCTTTCCTTTTTCCCTCGTAAAATGCACTTGCTTTTTCTTAGTCGCGTATTCGATCGTGCGCCTCTGGTGACGCGCGAGGCAGCTCAAGTCTTTTCTATAAACTCGACGTTAGATCGCTTAACTGTAAGTAACGAAAGATTCCGTGTACATGGAGTATCGATCTGGCCCCTGGGCCAACGGACGTGTACATAGTAGAGCAATTAAATTAAGATTGTTTGGTGTATGAGATTATGAACATGCTCAATGCCAATGCACGACGCGCGATACTTGTGTGAAATACTTGATCGATACATGATCGTCGATGCGAACCGAGCATCGTCTTTTGTTTTCTTCGTTAGTCGATAAGGGTCGTAGTCCGATGTGCAAAGTATGTAAATACGGGCGTATCGAATTGTTATTCCATTTCCTTCTCTTCTCTTCGTTTCCTTTTATCTTTCTCTCCTCTCCTCCCTTCGACGACATCGTGTAATTTAAGGAACCGCGCGGATCCCTGCTCGGACTCAGCGGATCGAAGGATTAATTTAACGTCGGAAGCCTTGAATTTCTCAGTCGAGACGGTTGTCGAGTAACGTTGACGATTATACGTTTCTTTAGTTGCGTAACGCGCGAGATCACGCGAGATCGCTTTTTGCTAAAGTCAAACGTATCGTCGTCGTCGAGGAAAATACTCCCGACCGAGACACCGTTCCCGTTTTCTTGTTCCAACGGAAACGCTCTGTCTTACGAGTAGAGAAATTATTCGGAGCGTTTCCGCCCCGTCTCGTCGAAATGTTGCCCGCGTTCCTGGACTCGGAAGAAACCGGGGCGCAACCGAACCTGTAGATATTTAACACGCAGTATTTGTATATAGAGAATACATCCCGTTTTCGTTACGATTTTTCCAATCTGAGACTTCCTTTAAACTATATGTAGGTAAAGAATTGTTTCGGTGCCCGAGTCGCGTCAACGTGATGTAAACGAACCACGTGTAAGAATAGTAACGCATTATTCTTATTATCTATATTCTGCAATAAAAATAAACGTTTTCAAAAGCATGCGTCCTGTACCCTTCTCCAATAAGCACTTACGAGAACTCGCGAACTTCGAGATCGCACGGTTGCACGGATTATCCGGGTGTTCGAGGCTGCCGGGAGGTTCCTCGAGGTCCGAGGATGTCGAGGATGCCGGAAGTTTCCGGAGGTTCTCGTGATTTCGCGAGCGTCAGGAATTCAGGGAGGTATCGGAGGTCTCGAGATGCTTTTCAGCATCGGGGCAGTGTCTCCAGGACGACGGAAACCTCCCGAGACTCCTGCTACCCCCGTCAATGAAGCTTTCGGATGTCGCGACCACCCTCGGAATCTTCGGAATGCCCTATAACTTTAGGACTTCCGATATCCAGCCTGGATCGCCGTATTTTTATATTTTCTCCGCGTTCCATGGAGCCTAAATTTATATGGGATTTCAGAGCTTGCACGCTTACTAGGACTCCTGCCATCGCGAGCCTGCTGGAATTCCTGCGCACAGGAACCTCCTAGAGATACTAATTGCAGTTGCTTATGAAACTCCTATTGCTTAGTCGCTAACGTGATTTGCAATGCAAATGCCATAATATTACATTATGAATGAAACATTTCTCCTGGCCGGAGTGGTTCTACACGCCATGGGATGCAGGTTTTCACCGGTGACGCTTGGCGGTAGTGGGACACCCCGTGGTGGGGTGCTGTTACCACGGGTCTAGTTGGATGTTCGTCACTTTCGCTCGTTCAGCCGTACCGGCTGGCTGGTTATGTTTTTGCCCCCTTCTCATTTTGGTTTGCTATTTTCATTCTTTATGCTTATGCATACTTATGAATACATCCCTCGTTTCGATTTTGCTCCTTCGTTTTCTACCATCTTACCAGAGAGAGCCTGGCTTCTCTGCCTCCGCTTCGATATTAAGGTGGTTATATATTCATAATGTCGGTCGGGTGAATTTAGCAAGCTAAATATTTATTTTAATCGGTATCACGCGTACGGCGCGTAAATAAATCTCGCGTTCAATTTCCATCGGCACTCTTATACGAGTAAATCAATCCACTTGCATTAGCAGAGCCCGCGAAGGAGTGGCCGCTCCCGCCCACCATTTCCCCGTGATTAGAAACTCCTGGTCGTTTAAAGTCGGTAGGCAGCGATCAACTGCAGCGATCCTTGATCGAGGGATCACGCCGAGACGAAGCGTCCGTTTCTGCTCGCGTCGTTTCCTCGAAGCTGCGCGATTCGCCTGGCACCGATCACGCCTGGTCCGGATTAAGCAAGCCCGAGAGAATATTATATTCGCCACTTGGCGGACACGCCCATGTTCTTCGTCTTCGTCGAGCATATTCGTCGCCGGGCAATTTCTCGGATAGCTCGCAGCAAGAAAACGCTGTCCCGCAAGAAGCGGCGTTCATCTCCGACCACGGCGTGCCTGATGCCCATAGCCTGTCGTCCTCTGTTCGAGAACAAATAGGAGCGGCTCACGAGCCGTTATCCGTGCCAAACTCTCCAACACGCATGAAACGCTAAATATTTATTAGATGCAACCGACATACTGACAACCATCCATCATTCCACCGACTGGTAACGCGATATCAATTTCACCGACGAGACCGCTCCAGGTTATGCCACCACGTGTCTAATAGCATCCTAACCACTCGCCATTCTATATTATTCCAAATTAAAAATGAATACACTCTCGGTGGAAAGCCTGCGACACTAGGTTTCCAATAACCCTCGAAACTCGAGGGAGTTTCTTGGTCTCTCGTTGTACATAATTTTCCACAATTTTCGAAAAATTCCTTTACAGGGCAAACCTAAATTATACCATCTGTACTTTACGCGCGAAATAAATCGCTACTCTTCCGTGCAATTAATCAATTTGGCAGAGGAATTAATGATCCACGGCACCGTTGTAAAATTTCGAGTAACACTAGGAATTCTCGGCATCCCGAGTTTCCCTAATTAATCAAACGATAATGTATTCGAAGCTTTCAACGGACCAATATAATAATCTAATCTACAGGTTTTTCAGCCGAGTGTTTCCTCGACAAATTTATTACTGCCGACTCTGGCGGAGGAAAAATAAGAGTAAAATTGCTCGACCTCGGTCGGTGTTCTAAACTACATCGAACGAAGGTATTTTTAATTCCCACGGGATAATGACGCGATTCTCTCGGCCACCGTGTCGTCGTCGGGCCTCGTACAAGCCGCGGGTATATAAGTGCGTTTATCTCTGGCAATTGCATTGGAAAACTCGGCTGATCACCTGGGCTAGTATCAGCGTAGGGCTCTCGTCGCAGCTCGGCGCAATAATAAATCATTACGCGTGTCACGGATTATCGGATTGGCCGCGGTCGGTCGCGTGATGGGTGGCGGACGGCTGCTTATCAGCGACAGCATGTGTTTGCACTCAGCTATGCCGTGGAGCCCTTTCTTTTCTAGAACGACCAAGCCTCGTTACATCCTCGCCACGTTCTCGCGGTACTCGTCCTGTCCTCCCGCCTCTCCGCTCCCGTTCCGCCGCGTTGCTTCTGTTTTCGTTTCTCTAGGACAGCCCGCTACCGCGATGGCGGATCACGGTGAACGTCGGGCCGCGTTTTCACCTGGCAAACCGTCCGCGAGAGGATCCCTTCGGACGAGGTATACCGCGAGATCCGGTTTGCCCGCGATATTCCGAACGTCAATGAAGATCGACGGCGCCGATAACGGCAACGAGGACGCGCTATCGTTCGATACCTAACGACCGGCATCGAGATTCGGCTGACGTCGTCGTTAGCGCGCGTATGGTAAAAATCTCCGCCATAAAGCGTGATTGAGAGCAACACTGGTCCGAGATAGCGGAAACAAATTGGGCAGATACATTTATCGTCTCGTCGCTCGAGATAAGCCACCCTTTACGGCACGCTTTACGACGTTTCGCGGCGTACGTCATTGTCACGCGAAGATATTTCGTCGTTGCGATTCCAAGGACCGCGACATACGTTGTATTCCTCCTCTACCTTTATTACGAGAGGAACGCGTCGAGGAGATAATTACTCTTATCCTCGCGAGACCCTACGCGAAGATTCGCGAACGAGGTCGAGTAGTCTAATCGGACTCGGAGATTCGCGTAATCGTGGAACACCGTGGAGAGAAGGGGTCCCTCGATGGCTCGAGGTGACAATAGGGAGACGGTGGATCCTCCGAAACGGTGGTCCGAGCATGGCAACCGCGGCGTGTCGCCACGTCCCTGTGCGCGTGGGTCGGCGATTGCAGACTCGGCCTCGCGACTTAACGATTTCCAGCGACAAGGTACGAACTCGGGGAGAGCGCGCGCGCGGTGCCGCGAGGATTTCACGGATGTCGCGACTCGCGAGTGGGTGGATCGTAGAAAGCGGAATAACGCGGCATTAACCACCCCCGGGAGCGTCTCGCGCGGCCGGCAAATTTTCCACGACCACGGAGTCGCCGGCCACTTAGCACCGAGATTCAGCTACCAGACGATAAAGATAACCCCGGGTTTGTATCCGTGACGTTTATGCACTGCCGGTTAGATCCCGATGACGCTTCTTTCGCCAACGTGTACGTACGTCAAGGTACCGCGCCGGTGTACGTATCAATTTCCGTACACTCGCGAGGGATCGCTGAATTCCAGAGGATGCTACGGACGAGGTGGAAGAGAGATAAGCGTGCCCATTTTCCCCGACGTCCGCGTAATTTCAGTACAACCGACGTCCCGTGATTGCTGGACTTTGTACGAGAACCCGTGGACGTGGAACATCAGCTCGTACGTAAGTCGGAAGAATACGATCGTTTAGGTGGACGGCGAGCGGAATCAGGGGGTCCACGTTTGTCCGGGAGGATTCCTCGTTCAGCGAGAAGATGGGACCGACCCGTGGCCGGGTTTTTCAGACGTAATGTCGGTGGTTAGGGTCTGGAACGTTATTCTGCGGTCGTGTGGCAGGCAGTGGTGGGCGTGGGAATGGTAGAAACTGCGAAGGGCACGCTTCTCCGTGTATCAGCGTCACCGCCACGGCTACCATTCCTCCGGTTCCCTCGGTCTCGTCGATTCCGTTCGTCGAGACAATTCATCGCGAATCCCGGTCGAGCCGTGATCCGCGGGATCGTCGGATGATTGGCCGTGCCACGATCGACGCCCACGACGCCGCGCCGCGCCGTCGTGCCTTCGACCCGTCGCCCGATGCACCGCGAAACTGATCGCCTGCTTTTCCGCGCTCATCCAGGCCTCTTTATACGGTGAGCACGGCGTCTCGTTATTGCACGTGAAATTGGAGACGCGCGCCATAAAAGCGTATCTTGGAAACGCACGGCAGTGGGATCCCCTCGGAGCCTTCCCAGCTGATCGTTTCTCATGTTGAACCGGCATTTTTTCCCGATGTCCTATACTATGGTTTAATCCGGAGATCGGTTAGCCTACGATTGACGCCTACACCGGCTGGCTGCGACCCGGCAACCAGCCAACAGGAGATTGTGTACGCGGCCATTTGACGGATCGTTCAGCCTCCACGGCGGTCTGTCTCAACGGGACGAATTAACTCTTTCACCGCGACACTCGAGTTCCGTTGATCCTCCGACGTATACGACCGTGTACCACGATTCGACGGGGAAATCGATCAAAATCGATTCGCGTCTCTATTGTCTGGTTATTAATCACGCGTACGATCGCTTAGAAAGTCCACTTTGTTCCAACTTCCCTTCCAATCGGCTATGTATACTTTGTCACGATGCACAGTATCGTGAGATCGCACCACGAAATTTTAGGGTACTATCGCGACGGGACGTAATTACCCGGTCGCGAATTATAGCGAGATTGGGAGTCAGGTGGGTAACCGAAACGAGTATATTTCGCAATCGCGAGGGATAAACGCGTTTGGTTGTTTTTATCGCGTGTTATGGTCGTCGGTGAAATATCCGAGCGCCCTGTTAGGGACATGTCCGCGATTATTTCGGTCAGAGGAGAACTT